TTTTTTCTTTCTCTCTGTTTATTAAAATAAAGGTTTACTGAGACATAAAAATAGTTACTATTCTAAATAATAATAAACACAAAATACACTGGTACCTGGGCTCTGGTCAGCTGATGTTTCAGTCCAAAGGATTAGGACAAATAGAATCAGCAATATCTTCATTTTGTTAATGAAGTTCTCTTGCTTTAACTAAAAAAAAAAATTATTTACAATATGAAAAATCTTCTTGTATACCAGGAAATAACTGCTGGGAAAATTGGTTTAGGCACAATAGACTGTAAGCAAGTATTTGTTGAGCAATCTCTGATGTATTGGTGCTATCCAATAAACCATCTGGAGTATTTGTTGAAGATAGTGCTGATGTTTGCTGAGTTCTTACTAGGGCTGAGACACTTTTCTCAGTGTTGTACAAGTATTATTGAATTTAATCCTCACAACAGCCTTAGAGATAGGTGCTATTATTATATGTGACAGATTAGGAAACTGAGGCACAGAAAGGCTTGGTTAGCTGTGGAGCCAGGTTACCAACCCAGACAAGGCGACACAGAGCCCAAGCTCTTAACCACTCTGCTATAAATCTTATACAAAATCTGTATCCTCAGAGAATTTATAAAATCACTGTTCTTTATTTTCTATTGTTAATGCCAGCAGTGACTATTATACACGTTCCTAACTTGACTCAAAAAAGTGAACAGGCTCTCCATGTTTCTTTCTTCATTAAAGCCTTGTAAAAATTGTTCTCTCACTTCAGTTGTAAACACTTTTACAAATTCAACTTCAGCAGTTCTCTCCTGCTCACAATCAATTAGAAATCCTCATGGGAAATTACAATATCATAGAAAGCTTACCAAATCAGACTTGCTATAAAAAAGGAAAATAGATCAGATTGACCAATACTCAAAATAAAAGAACGAGTTGTCATCGAGTTGATTTTAACTCAGGATGACCCCATGTGTGTCAGAGTAGAACTGTGCTCCGTAAGGTTTTCAATGGCTAATTTTTTTTGGAAGTAGATCGCCAGGGCTTTCTTTCAAGGTCACTGGTGCTGAGGTGTCTTTCTTCCAAGGATAGATTTGATGTGCCAACCTTTTAGGTAGTAGCTAAGCTTGTTAACTCTTTGTGTCGCAAAATTGAGCTGCCTTCAGTGACACACCAAACATATCAGGGTTTATTCTAGTTGATCTTTTCAGCAGTTCTTTTTAAACTGCTTTTCATGCAGAAAGATTCTAAAGTATTGGAAGGTAAAGTTGGAAGGGAACCTCTAGAACTGTTAGATTAAACCTCTATTTTGCAGAATAGGAAACTGAGGCTCCCTGGTAGGTAGTTACTGAATTATGTCAACACACAACGACTTTCATATCTACACTCTTCACATTTTAATATACCATATATCTTACTTTTTTAAAATTTTATTGTTGTCGTTGTTGTTAGGTGCCATCCAGTCGGTTCCGACTCAGAGTGACCCCATGTACAACAGAATGAAACACTGCCCGGTCCCGCACTATCCCACAATCCTTGTTATGTTGCAGCACTGTGTCAGTCCACCTCACTGAGGGTCTTCCTAGTTTTCGCTGACCCTCTACTTTACCAAGCATGATGTCCTTCTCCAGGGACTAATCCCTCCTGATAACATGTCCGAAGTATTAGTCGTAGTCTTGCCATCCATGCTTCTAATGAGAACCTTGCTGTACTTCTTCCAAGACAGATTTGTTCGTTCTTCTGGTAGTCCATGGTATATTCAATATTCTTTGCCAACACCATAATTCAAAAGCATCAGTTCTTCTTCAGTCTTCCTTATT